CCTGCCTGTGAGTGACAAAAACACCAAAAATCACAAAAATCCACCCAAAAATCCACCCAAAAATAATCCAGAAATAACCCCCGCAGGGTCTGCCTGCCTGTGAGTGACAAAAAAAATCCAAAATTAACCCCAAAAAACCCCAAAAATCACCCCAAAAATTAACCAAAAATCCCCCCCGGAGGGTCTGCCTGCCTGTGAGTGACAAAAAAACCCAAAAATCACCCCAAAATAATCCCAAAAATAATAAAAAAATAATCCCTGGAGGGTCTGCCTGCCTGTGAGTGACAAAAAACCACAAAAATCACCCCAAAATAACCCCAAAAATAATTAAAAAATCACCCCCGCAGGGTCTGCCTGCCTGTGAGTGCAAAAAACACCAAAAAACCCCAAAAATCACCCCAAAATAACCCCAAAAATTAATGAAAAATCACCCCCTGAGGGTCTGCCTGCCTGTGAGTGACAAAAAACACCAAAATCACCCAAAATCACCCCAAAAAATAATCCAGAAATCAGCCCGGAGGGTCTGCCTGCCTGTGAGTGCAAAAAACCACCAAAATTACCCCAAAATTACCCTGAAATAATAAAAAAATAATCCTGAAATAACCCCAGCAGGGTCCCCAGTCCATCCCAGTCACTCCCAGTTCCCGCAGGAGTTCGACCCCCGGGAGCTGCTGGAGTGCATCCCAGTGCTCCCAGTTCATTCCCAGTATTCCCAGTTAATCCCAGTCCCTCCCAGTATTCCCAGTCACTCCCAGTCCCGCAGGACTTTGACCCCCGGGAGCTGCTGGAGTGCATCCCAGTGCTCCCAGTCCCTCCCAGTATTCCCAGTTAATCCCAGCCCCTCCCAGTATTCCCAGTCACTCCCAGTCCCGCAGGACTTTGACCCCCGGGAGCTGCTGGAGTGCATCCCAGTGCTCCCAGTTCATTCCCAGTATTCCCAGTTAATCCCAGTCCCTCCCAGTATTCCCAGTCACTCCCAGTCCCGCAGGACTTTGACCCCCGGGAGCTGCTGGAGTGCATCCCAGTGCTCCCAGTCCCTCCCAGTATTCCCAGTTAATCCCAGTCCCCCAGGACTTTGACCCCCGGGAGCTGCTGGAGTGCATCCGGGCCCTGGTGCGGCTCGAGGGGCGCTGGGTGCCGCGGGACCCCCGGAGCAGCCTCTACATCCGGCCCACCTTCATCGGCACCGAGGTGGGCGGGGGTCCCGGGGGTCCTGGGGAGGGTCCTGAGGGGGATTTGGGTTAATTTGGGTTAATTTGGGGGGATTTGGGGGGATTCGGGGAGGTTCTTGGGGGCTCCGATGTGGTTTAGGTGAATTTGGGGAGGATTTCGGGGGTCCTGAGGTGAATCTGGGGAGGATTTAGGGGTCCTGACGAGGATTTGGGTAAATTTGGGGAGGATTTGGGGGTCCTGGGTGGGATTTGGGT